GTCGACTGACGTTAAGAGGCAGACGGGATGTGGAGCACGGGAAGATGGTCGGACAGCTATCGATAACAAAAGCTTGGCATCCAGAAGAGCCAGAAAGTTTCTCGAACATCCGGCTCATATTGGAAGCGAGTTAGGTGAAAGAACATGGAGGTGGAATTGGCAGACGGACCCGTGGCGAAGCGCCAAAAGCTCGCCAATGGCATCGCAAAGCCACAACGCAAACCTGGCTCCTCGCGCCTCTTCGCCCCGTACCGCACCATCGGCCTCGTGTCTCCCACTGCCGTCCCCTTCACATCCGTCCCGTTGGGCAAGACGACCTTCCAAATCACCACATCGGTTGGTTGCAGTCTCCAGACGTACGACTTGCGGCGGGGTCTGCAGCTTGTCTTCATCACGCGGCCACAGACTCCCGGACCGATAACGGCGAGCGTAGCGTGGAAAGACAAAGTATTCGGCGCATGGTCGGAGGGCGGAGAGGGCGGCGCGAGAGGGGCATGGGTGTTCAAGCGAGGAAAGCGAGAGGCGGAGCTGGAGATGCCGAAGGGGTGGAGGGAGGACGTGAAGGCGTTCTGCATCTTCGGCGGGTGGATCATCGGTGTATGCGACACCACTTTGCTCGTGTGGAAGAGTACGACCTACGAGCTATACACCACTTTGCAAGGCATCTCGCCCGTACCCTTCACAAGATGCATTGCGAGTCTTCCGACCTTCCTAAACAAAGTCGTTGTTGGCAGACACGACGGGAGTGCAGAGATCTGGAACGTCTCGAGTGGCAAGCTCATATATACCGTCTTGCCCCCATCAACCGCCTATGGTGCGGTGACTGCCATCCAACCAACACCGGCGCTTTCCTTGATCGCCATTGCCTACGAGAAAGGCCCGCTGCTGATCCATGATGTCCGCGCCGATCAGATGGTGATGCAGCTCAACACCTCTGCTGGCGCACCGGTCACATCCATTACCTTCCGTACAGATGGTCTGGGAGCAGGCGACGACGGCCAGAAAGCCGGAGTCATGGCTACCGCTTCCACTGCTTCCGGAGATGTGACGCTCTGGGACCTGAACGAGGGCGGTCGGAAAGCGGGCGTGTTGCGCGCTGCTCATGCCGATCCTACGCCAGCCGCGCCAGGTGGCGTGAGTAAGATCGAGTTCCTTTCGGGCCAGCATACACTTGTAAGCAGCGGACTGGACAATAGTCTCAAGACCTGGATCTTCGATCACACACCCTTCTCGCCTATCCCACGCATCTTGCATCAAAGAGGTGGCCACAGCGCGCCTGTCACAAAGCTCGAGTTCCTACCTTCCGCATCTGACGGCTCAGATGACACTGGCAAGTGGCTCATGTCTGCCAGCCACGACCGCAGTCTCATGGCCTGGTCACTGCGGCGAGATAACCAGAGCACCGAGCTCAGCCAAGGCGCTGTGCTGTCCAAAGCGAAGAAGCAGGGTTTGCTGTCAGGTGGTAGCCGGGACAGCTTGCAGGACTTGAAGTGTCCGCCCATCACCGCTATGGCCTGCAGTCTGAATCGCGATGGCGGGATGGGCGCAGTCCCCGGCAAGCATCCCATCTGGCAGAACGCGAAGGGCAAGAAAGTCGACGCCGAAGTGTCCGCCATGACGGGATGGGAGAGCGTGGTGACGGCGCACGCGCGGGACCACAAAGCCCGCACGTGGTTCTGGGGCCGCAAGCGCGCGGGTCGTTGGGCTTTCCCGACTAGCGATGAGAGTCCGGTGACTTCCGTCGCCATGTCGCCGTGCGGCACTTTTGCTCTCGTTGGATCGGAGAAGGGCGGGATCGACATGTTCAATCTGCAGTCTGGGTTCCATCGGCAGCGCTTCCCGGCTCGGCTCACGACGCAGCAGGCGAAACAGCTGAAGCTTGACATGCATAAGCAAGGTTTAGCGGAAGAACGCTCAGAGGACGGCAAGAAGATCTTCTATCGAGGTCAGGGCAAGCACGCTTCTGCTGTCGTTGGGCTAGCCGTCGATAACTTGAACAAGACCGTCATCTCAGCTGGTGAGGATGGTAAGGTCAAATTTTGGGACTTCAGTACCGGTCTTCTGCGGCATCAACTCGACTGGTCCATTTCCACAGGTATCACCGCGATGCGCTTCCTGCGGTCCTCCGACTTGGCAGCGTTCGCCGGAAGTGATGGCTGCGTGCGCGTCGTGGATGTCGGCACGTACAAGCTAATCCGTGAGCTGTGGCCTGCTCGGACACCAATCGCAAAGCTGCAGAACGTGGTGATCTCTGATCTCACTTTCTCACCAGACGGCCACTGGCTGGCCGCGTCCATGGACTCGTTGGTCTTACTCTGGGACTTGCCTACGGGTCATCTGGTCGATGCATTCAAGCTCCAAGCACCCTGTACGAGTGTAGCATTCTCGCCAACGGGAGAGTATCTGGCGATCGCCACGAAAGACAGCGTTGGAGTTGATGTCTGGAGCAGCAAGGCGCTATTCACGCACGTCCCAACACGACATATTGGTGCTGCCGAGCTGGCCGCTATCGTCGATGCAAAAAGCACACAAGCGCCAACCACGAGCGGAGAAGGTGGGCAAGAACTCATTATCGTTGGCGTCGACGACGAAGAGGAGGTCGACGACGACATGATGGCAGGTCTTGATGAGGAGCCTAACCTCGACCAGCTCTCCTCTGACCTGCTATCCCTCTCGCTCGTTCCCAAATCACAATGGCAGAGCCTCCTGCATCTTGACCTCATTCGAGCGCGCAACAAACCTATCGAACCGCCCAAGAAGCCAGAGAAAGCACCATTCTTCTTACCTTCACTTCAGAACAAACAGGCTACACCCGGCGC